ATGAACAAAAACGCAAAACTTACAGGTCAGCATGTAGGGATTCGGCATTCCACCAGACACATTCACCGAATTGAGTAGCTGGGGATTCAACCTTCCGGAAGCGACTGCAGCCACTAGAGCGGCGTTGATACGCTGTTGTTGCTGTTGATTGTGCATTTGCAAAGTGAAAGGATTGAAAAGATTCGCTGTGTTTCCTCCAGCTGTGCCTAGCTCAGACATGATTGAACCGGATAGTGGTGTGGCTGGAGGTGGTTCGGATGGAGGGGGCGGAATGGTTCCTGTCCGGATGGATTGCGCGAGCCTATTAGCTGTGCGAAGTGTTCCATGTGGATCAACCCCACCTATGGTGGTAGCACGGGTCAGACTCACGTCACCTCTGTGACGCCTCGGAAGGGTGCCGCCAGTAGACCCATACAAGCTGTGCTGTCCATAACCACCCAAAGAAGAATCGCGACGTCTGGAGGGAAGTTGGTATGTTTGACGACGTTGACGACCACGTAAAGGAGTATCCAGATCGGTGGCTGCTTGCAAGTCGTCCAAGGAGTAGTCAAACTCAGCCAAATCAGGCCGATTCGATCCAACCCTTTCATCTTCGATGCTACGTAAATCATCATCGTCATCCTCTGGACCACTCCCATCAGTACCGTTGTGACGTAGTAAGGCCATATTTGCAGATTGTTGGGATCCAGTGAGCCCCATACGTTTGGTTTCACTTCTAGCCCGTTTACGCGCACGGGCCAAACTTGCACTAGTGTTAGGACGGCTTGAAAATAGCTTGGAACTATTATTTCCGTTTGTAGCACCGTTGTTGTTATTCGGATTACTACTCGCGTTGTCTGACGTTCGTTCGTTTCGTGAATCTCCGAGCTCTGAACTGACCGTGGGACTGTCACATCGAAAACCCGTAGAAGCTTTTCGTCGAGTAAGTTGAGAATCGGTCAGTCGTGAGTTGTGACCGTCTGCGCGAGCAACAAGTTCAATTGTGGGATTGGGTGAGTCTGCAAGCAGGGAAGAGGGGTAGATTGGAAAAGAGTGAACTAAAGCGACGAGGATGGCAGTGAAATCAGGTTGTAAATATAGAAGAAAGCTTTCAGAAAAAAGGGGTGGCATTTTTAAAAAATCCTGAAATAAAGACAAACGAACGCGGAATACAAAGTCACCAATTCATGCGCGATTGTTATCAAACAGACAGTTGTTTGACTGAGGCATTTAGGAACTCCTCAGATAACTAATGACACTATAAGAGATGGAAGGAATGTGAACTACACTTGGTCGACCATTAATTCAGAATTAAGACGGGGAACATCCAGTAACTAAGGGATGAATAATAATATCCTTGCTCCAAATCTTGATAACATAGTGATACAACGGAGCTGGTGCACTGATATTATGAGCAATCTGGTGAAAGGAAGAAGGTCTTCGCTGCGGAGTTGTTTATTAGAGAGAGACCAAATGAACAGTTACAGACTATTGGACAGGGGAACAATACTGTCATATGCATCTTGTTTACAAAATTGAATATCCATCTTCTCCTTGAGCGCGTCTTCCTGAACTTCCCTGGATATTCATTGACTGTTACTCAAATGCAAGCAGATGCTAAAAAGCGACTCCACAAATTCCGTAATAGATTTCACTTTTCAAGAGACGCGAAGCGGATTTACGAGGAAACATACCACTCGCATTCCCCATCAGTAGTATCCACCGTTACACTGGTAGCATAACTGATACTCCCTTATATGAAACATTCTTATCGTTCGCAAAATTCATCACAAAGGGCGATCTCTTCTAGGAGTAACCCAATCAGCAGAACTTACAAGGGACCAAGGGGCGAGATGACCCAACGGTTAGAGCACAAATTTACTGACCGGAAGGTCCGTAGTTTGAACCTGAACTCTGCCTCTCAACTTCCTCTGCCCAGGCTTGGGATACCTGGCATTATCCCAACCCTCGTGCTTCGTTCTGGTGGCATGGCAGTTAGGTACCGAAATGGTGCTACAGTTGAACGATTTTTTTAAAAGGGATCAACCACAAATGGTCCCAACTGAGAGGGGTGTTCTTTACAGCGAGGAGGGAATTGTGCCATTCGTTTGGTATACAGAACTCTCATCAATCAGGGGAGCAAATATATATTCATGTTACTGATCAGACACCCCGTTGGTATCAGAATACGTAAGGGTACAGTTCGCATCGTCGCCTTTGGTGAAAAGAAATTTTGTTCCTTGGGGATGTTTAGAGTGGTCTTTGCTGGCAATAATCTCTGATAGGGTAGCAATTTTAAGCCAAATAACAAGGAATGGAGCAGTGCTCCTAATTGGGCTGTCTCTCTTGGGCGGAGGGGGGATGGAGGAGCCTACAGCACATTATCAGAATCCAACTGCTCTGAGGTTGAAAGCGGATATGCAGAGGGCACTGAGGATGAATCAGCAAAGGCTCCTGATAAGAATCTGTACGGGGTCTATGCATGAGATGTGTATGTATGCATAGTCCTATGGACTATATATTATGCGATAGAATCAGCAAACCAATGACTATGAAGCACCACTAGCCTTTCTACAAAAACCGCGTGTAAACTTGATCTATACCTGCTGTATACGCACTTTACGACATGTTTTAGCTCGAAAACAGGAGTCACGACTGATCCCATAATGGGAGGGAAGCGTAAGGAAGTGAGAGAGAAACGTGACAGCTTCGGGACAATCAGCATTCAGGTGTATCCGAACAGAAGATCACTTAATCTAAGGAAATCAAAACCCTTGCAAGCACGCACGAAACGGATAAAAATGGACAGATGATGCCGGAAAACAGACGGAAAGTCTGCATGTGAAGAAGGATTGATTGAAACACGGAAATTATGTCTACCTGCTTAACCTCAAAAGGAGCGAAACCGGTAGTCGGCGCGCTTTGATCAAGCTTCCCATGCTGTCTATAAAGTACATCCGCCTTTGTTCAGCAAAATAAACCGAAGGACAAACGTTATTGAGGACAACCACATGACCCGAAATGCAACAAATACAGCGGTAGGTCTTGAGAAGGTACAGAGTCATAAATTATTGGTTATCTGACTGCATCGCACCTTAGAAAGATGTGAACACGACACTTACAGCGATACATGAGACATTCAAGTGCTTATGGAGTGAAGCGATTCATATTCGGCGACAGCTGAATAGTTGCGGAAATAATACGACACAGTAAGAGAGGTCTTGAATCGTCACAAGATGGCTATATTCCCTTCAAAGATAGGCCACTTCTCATAAATGCCCTCTCCTCTTGGGGAGTATGTGTGCATGTGTATACGATGAGTAAACGATGTAGATCGCTAGGGTGCTACCTTTAGTGAGAATAATGAAAAGGACCCATTGAAGCGTATATGGGATCTTCATTATCAGTCAACTAACATGGATGGGTCGCTTGGGCGTGCACCTACGGGATGAATGTTCCGTTTTTTTAGTTATACAATCAGCAATTTATAAAAAAAAGAGGTAACGCAGTAAGACCCTTGCAGTGGAGGGTAGAAGTATGGGACACAGAGAACATGCAAAAGTAAGGCTGATGTGTCAGGGTATTTAATAGATAAATCCAACTAAGCAGTGGAATAAAAAACTCCAATAGAAATCACTTTAAAGTGATAGACCAAAGTTCAACACCATTACCAAAAACGACAACCTGTGGAAATCTGCGCTAATATCGAAGAGTAGACTGTCCAGTTATGACAGTAACGTGCATTTAATCGTCCGAATATATAACACAGTGATGTTGAAGGGCTTCTTGTTGTTGCGATCTGTCCACATGCAAACAGAGGTGGAGAAAGTCGAGTTATCATTCTTGGACAGTGTTTCTCGAGAGGATGACCAAGCGACGTGGGACGTTATGGGGTGGGCGACAAATATACACAAAAAAAACGTCGGTAACTGTGAGCAATGGACACAACTGTTCTTTTCATCAAAATGCCGATTTGGTTGTCATGCGCACAATATCCAAATATATAAACTTGTATTTTGACGAAAGATTCTGGTGGAGAAAGTCGAGTTATCATTCTTGGACAGTGTTTCTCGAGAGGATGACCAAGCGAAATGGGACGTTATGGGATGGGCGACAAATATACATAAAAAAAACGTCGGTAACTATGAGCAATGGACACGACTGTTCTCTTCATCAAAATGCCGATTTGGGTTGTCATGCGTACAATATCCAAATAGATAACCTTGTATTTTGACGAAAGATTCCATCTACACTTATCTCCACATACAACGCATCGTAGTTTTTTAGTGAGGGAAAATCAGGATGATATGAGACAAACCATCGCCAAA